TAGTCTAAAACAGAGATGCCATGAAGGGTCTCTGGAAGGCTGCATGCTATGACAATGCAATAAAAAATATTCTTTGAGCTGACTCACATTTGCAAGTCAACCAACGTAGTCAGTCAGTGGGGTCTTCACGGTACCTAGTGTTGCCTTGCTACCTGCAAAAGAGGTAACACATTTACTGGAATGAGTGCCTTGGTTCTCCAGGGTATTTCAGCCCCAGGACATATTTGGAGAGGATAACTGACTCTTTTTAGTCTCGGCTTGGGAACATGGAGTGCTATGTTCAAATAGACTGTGCTGCTCCTCCAGAACACAGACAGTCACAGGGAAGAACCAACAGCTCAGCGTGCACTCAAGCTGGGAAGCAGATCCTGCTTCTCCGTACCTCCCAGGAAAAAGGCATGCTTTACCTTTCCTACATCTTTTTTGTTATTTTTAATAAAGATAAGATGCAACCTATTATCCAGCATCTAATAAAATTGCAGTGAACTGGAGCTGAAAGAATAGACTAACCCATTTCCTTCTAATTACAAGGAAGTGACTTGCTTCTTTTCAGTGCCTTTGAAGAGGGAAAAAGGTGTAATAATGGCAAATAATTAGCCTGCATGGCATATTTTAAAGAGGGCAGGTGCAACCCAATCCAGATCTCTGTCTTGAGTGTCCTGAATGCAGCTGCTGATCAACTGCTCTGCACAGATGTCTTCAAAACATTTTAAAAACTGCCCCACTCCCCAAACAGAGACCCTTAGCTTCCCCACAGAAGTATTTTCCACAGTTCTGTTCCTTCCGTTTTTCAATTTAAAAGCTCAGTGGCTGCTGTATTTGTTTCATAAACAGTATCCAAACAGTGAGCAAGTGTATTGCTTTCTGTTCTTATGACAGACAATAAAAGTGTCTGATTGTATGGGCTAACAAAGGGTGAAAAGAGATGGAAGGGAGATGAAGTCTAAGTGCAGGGCAACAAAGAAAGCCCTTAACACTCGAGGAAGCAGGAGGAGCAGAGGAAATTCAGAAGCCACAGCTATCTAAGGCAGGAGGGAGGCCAGAGGAGCATGGTGTCCTGGAAGCAGAGTAAAGAAAGTGTCAACTGTATGAGGTCGGGTAAATTTAAATACTGATAAAATTGACCACCAAAGGTAATAGTGTAAGGGTTATGGAGGCTTTGCTATGATGGGACTGGGTGCAGTGATCAGGCGAATTATGAAATGGAGTGGAAGAGACATAGATGAGTGGCACTGTAAACAGTAAACACATTGATCTGGCAAAAAGACATGGCAGAGAGGGAAAAATTTGGTGAGTTGGGGGAGGGAAGAGATACCGAGACAATGTCTTAAGAAAGTGAGAAAGTATCAGATCAGCTCCAAATAAAAGTGGCTGAACCTAAGCCAGCAGCTTGCAAAGCTCATTCATCAAAGCTTGAGAGAAGTCAAAGTCTCCAGATACAAGCACATGCAGAAATCTGTGTGGCAGTATTAATTACCACAATAACTCATTATGAAAAGTAATCCCATTTCCCCTTCTCAAAATGGGTAAACTGAGGCAGCACCAGCCGTTTAGATAACTTGCTTATGGCAGCATGGTTGAAACAGAGCCATGTAGAATCCAAAACCAAACAATCTACATTAAAGACCTGAGTGGCCACACATTGTTCTAGAGGGATGCTCTCTCAGCCTGGACACATGGGGAAGAGCCTAGGTCCTGCACTGGATGAAGTGGCAGACTCTAGAGATTGCCCCTCCCCCAAGGAGGGCCTCACCATCCCTGAGGAATGATGTGGGAATTGGGTGGCTGGCTGGGAGGGTTGGTGGAGGGACAAGGGAGGAGGGGTGGGAGAGGGAGCTGGGATTGGCATGTGAAGCATTTATGTTTTTAATTTAAATAAAAACATATATTGAGGGAAAAAAGAAGAGCAACAACAATTCTTAACCACTGAGCCATATCTCCCCCTATACTGGGGGGTAGAATTCTATAGTTTTTTTTTTGAAAAATAGTTTCATTAGATAGTCCAGGCTAGCTTTGAAGTTGGCTGGTATTTCAGACATGTTCTGTGATGTCTAGACTAGCCATGGTTTTAAATATCTCATGAAAATGGAGGTGAAATATAGAAGGAAATAGGGAAGCTATAAAGTAGAGAAGTACAATAACTCATCTGAAGTAATGAAAGTCTGTTGCCTTAAAGAAGGCATAGATTTCCTCTGTGTTGAGGCTCACCCTGGGGAACTTTCAAGCAACATGTCAGTTCCATTTGTTTATCCTGTTGGATCTAATGAGGAAAAGGTCCACTCACAAATCTTTTGCTGTATAACTTTTAAAGAACCAGTGCTTTATTGCAGTGACTCTCTTGAGACAAATAAGCTGATAGAAATGGAAAGAAATAATCAAGCTTTTGAGACAGGTGGACCAGCTTCATCACCTAATTTGCATTACTCCACTGCCTTGAGACCCAGTTTCCTTATATTAAAGCAGACTTGCATACAACCACCTTGAAGTCTTAGGAGAACTATTACATATGAAGTGAGAAAAGCAGTTTTGTTTGCTGAAATTTTTTCCTTTATCCTTCTCATGCCAACACAAAATCACTAGTAATTTTGAAGCAGAACTTAGGAATCCTGGCCCCGAATGTGAGGCTGATTAAGTAGATTTTAAGTTGCATTATAACTCAGTGATGCAATCAAGTAAGGGGGAAGAATCACAGAAATTAAAAGCAAGGAACTGGAGGCTGATAGTCTTGGAATGTAACTCTTAACTTTATGCCAATAATATGACCTCGGGCATACCAATCTGTTTATACCGCCGTTTCTTGAATAAGATCAGGACTCAACCAACAACTTTCTGAGACCATTAAGTGAAGAAAGTATATTTAAAATTAGTAACCAGTTGCCTGGTGAGCACTCAGTGGTGGCTGTGCCTATTCTTAAAATTTGTCGTGTGGGCTAAGTGTCCCACCTCCTGGGGAGGTTCAAGAACTTTTGATTAACTGGAAGGTCCTTTCATGGCCCATAGAGCATCACTTGGATTACCTTTGATGATATCTGCTGCTATGTCTTAGAATCTCTCCGGTTTTGTTCAAACTAGACAAAGAAGAGGAGTTTTCTTCTCTCCTATGCTCTGGGGTTTTTGTCGTTAGATTGCGGGTCCAGAGGAGAATGCAGCCATTGTACTAGCACAGGAAACTGTGCTATTGCTCATTATTTTCAGGTACTATGTACTTTAATCTTTTGTGTCACCAGATAATTCTGTACCAAAGGAAAAAACTGTATGTGCCTAAAATACAAAGTAATCTTTATTCACCCCATATAAAGAGGGCAGTGAAGAACGTCATTTTTTTTAGAAAAAGATAAGAAAGTCTTTAAAGATTAGCCTCCTCTCTGTCTTTTATCTAGAGCTACACTTGCCAAATGAGATGCCCAGAGATTTCATTTCCTCTAAGAAGCTTAAGGAAATTGGGAGTCACGGCTGAGCACCGCATTTATGGTTGAATGTAGAGAAAATACAATATAACGAGATACTTTGCTCCAGGTCCTCCTTTCATGTTCTGCTCTTATCTGCAACTTTATTATCTTCAGTATTCAAAACGCTGTTCCATCGTAACTCTAAGAATAATCAGCCATACTTCAGTCATCCTCAGTATTATTTTCACATTGGTATGATGAAAATACCTGGCAAGAACAACTTAATGGAGGATAGTTATATTTTGGCTCATTGTTTCGAAAGGTTTTACCCATCAAGGCAGAGAGTGTGTGGAATGCAGAGCGGAGCAACTTATCTCACAGCAGAGAGAATACTGAAAGAAAAGTAGCCAGAAATAATAAACCCTCAAAAATAACCACCATGGCCCATCTCCCAAAGTTTCATCCCACATCCCAAAATGCCTAAAGTCTCCCCCAAAATCCCACCATCGGGGGATCCATTGTCCAAACAATGAGCCTAAAGAGGACACAACAGATTTAAAACCTACACATTCTACAGCATCATAGGGTTTCCTGGAAAGTCTTCCATAGCAACAAAGAGATGGCTCAGCGGTTAAGAGCACGTTATATTCCTTCAGAAGACCTGGGTTCAATTCCCAACACCCAAGTAGTGGTTGAAACTATCTGTAACTCTAATTACAGAAAAATTAGCTACCCCTTCTGGCCTCCATAGGCACCAGACTGTGTATATGGTGCACAAAATTATAAGTAGTTTAAGTATTCACATAGGTAAAATAAAAAATAAACATTCCATTGTCTTAGGGTTTTACTGCTGTGGAGAGATGCCATGACCATAGCAATTCTTATAAAGGAAAACATTTAACAGTTCAGAGGTTTAGTCATGGGAAGTATGGTGGCACATAGGCAGATATGGTGATAGAGAAGTATCTGAGAGTTCTACATCTGGATCCACAGGTATCAAGATAAGACTGTCAAACACTGGGCCAGGTTTGAGCATCTGAAACTTCAAAGCCACCTCCAGTGACACACTTTCTCCAACAGTACCACACCTACACCAACAAGGCCATAGCTCCCAGTAGGCCTATAGGGCCACTTTATTCAAACCACCATATCCTCCTCCATGACCAAGCCTTCAAGTACCTAATTTTCAGGCTTTCTAAATCCCTGCAATATCAGCCCCAAGAGGAACATATCAAGCTCTTGGAGCAAAACCGGGTACCATTAGATCATGGCTATAACAGTTTCTGAATGTAGACACGTTTCAAACTGACTACTTCCCTAACAGCCATGTGCAAACAGAAATCAGGTGGGAATCTTTAACATGGGCTTACTATTATAAACTCTGGAGCCTGCAAAGTGTGGAGATCACTAACTCCCGAAATGGCTTAATGGCTTTAACACCTCTAGGGAAAAGCACTTTGCTCTTTTTTTGTTTGTTTGTTTGTTTTTGTTTTTGTTTTTTGTTTTTGTTTTTACGAGACAGGGTTTCTCTGTATTGTTTTGGAGGCTGTCGGTCCAGCCTGGCCTCGAACTCACAGAGATCCGCCTGCCTCTGCCTTTCGAGTGCTGGGATTAAAGGCGTGTGCCACCACCGTCGGGCGCTCTTTTTGTTTTTCAAGGTGCTGGTTTCTTTAACAATTGTGACTTCTTCTTCTTCTTCTTTTTTGCAACTTCAAACATGTTTCTTTTCTGGCCAAAGTATACAACTTCACATCTTAAAATATTTTAAAGGCTTATTCATCTTTATTTTATGTTTACAGGTACTTTTGCCTATATGTATGTTTATGCACCATTTTCATGTCATACCCATGGAGGCCAGAGGAAGCTTTGAATCTTCTGGAACTAGCGTTTAGACAGTTGTAAAACATCACATGGGTGCTTGGAAATGGATCCATGTCCTCTGTAAAAGAAATAAGGAATAACTGCTGAGCCATATTTCTAGCCCTCTCTCCCCTTTGTGGTCATCTTCTATCTCTGCATTTTTACATCTTAGTCTCACTATGAATCTGGTTAAAAGCAGCCAGGAATAGCTACACCATAAACTGAGTTCTATGTTGTCTTGAAATTTTCTCTGCCAAATATTAGCCTAGTCTCTCAACTTTAGTGAGTCTTTTAGATTCAATGGCCTTTCACTTTCAGGAAGAACCAAGTGCAGGTAAATTCCTTTAATATGAATGGGCTCTAGTGTAATAACTGTAGCATCCTAGTTTCCATCTGAAGCCTCATGAGTTTGGCCTCTACAGACAGTCTTGTCTACATTTAGGTCCTGAACTGCAAGTGGAAGAACAATACATCCCCCAAACACCAGTGATCTTCCACTTCCTGCTAAGCCTCATGTTCCAAAATACCTTCAATTTTCTAGGGCAGTACAACCAGCTGGGGATCAGTGAGTCTATAGGGGATAGTTCATATTCAAACTATACATTTACTATTATTAGAAAATTTATTCCTTTGCAACATCTCTGTTGAGAAAAATACATAATATTACCAAAATAATAACTATGTACTATATTCTAAAGAAGGCAAGCAATGCCAGGTTAAACAACATATCTCTAGAATAAACAGGGCTATTTCTGTCATAATTCTCTAATGACTTCTGCTCTTCATAACTACAGACATGCACAGGGAAGACCCACTCATATGATCAATAATCTGTGTCTTAGCTCTGCTACCTTTTATTTCCTGACTTTATTAGAGAAATAAAATATTGATATTGAGGTCCAATAACCCTGAACTCTGAGTCCCTCTACATCTACTGGGGTTTTTTAGGTTCAACAATAAAAAAGATGGCAGATTCATGCTAAAGATTAGAAATTGAGGGGATGTCAGTGTTATATTAACCAGAGCCACTGATGAACACCTGGAACAGGCCAAGATATTTTTGGTTGAGTATGAATTGTTCTCCATAGCCTCGGGTATGAGAAAGGTGAGTGCCTAGTTTATGATGCTTTTTTAATAGGTTCTGAAATGTTAGATGTAGTGCCTACAATAGAGTGAAATGGCCCTGGGGCTGTTTCTTTCATTGTTATTCCTTGCCACTGGTCCCTCTTTCTGTTCTTTGTAGATTTCAAGTTATAAGGAACCAACTATATTGTATACCTTCTCTCCCTTCCAAATGTAGACACAGAAATCACAGAGAAACAAACTGGATGTCATAATGCAGTGGACCTGAAGCCTGTCATGTCAACCAACACACCTGGCCAAATTTTAAAAATTACTATTAGATCATTTGGGGGTTGTCAGATGCTTGTGCCACTGCTTATTGTGGTGTGCCTATTCTCAAGGTTGTCAAGACAGCCGTAGGTACCACCAAGAGGACACAGAGACATGATAGCATCACTCACGAGCAATACTCTCAGGTTTCCTCTGATCTTTATTTTCTCTTCCAGCATACAAAGGTTTAAAACAGTGTATATTCCATAAGAATTTTTTAAGAACTAAAGGTGAAATTTTATGTAAAACACCTACTATATAACCTAGCACAACAGTAAACATTCAACAACCTTAAATTTCTGTTAAGTTAGCCATTATATTTTTTCCATAGTAATACTTCCCAATAGAAATAGAAATATAGTTTATCCATTCACTTGTCAATATTGCTGAGATATCATTACATATAACTGACTGTACTAGGTGTTGTTATGATAAGATCATCAAAAAATAAAAACTTCGGACGACAGAGTGAAGCCTTTGTGTGGTGATATCTTGCTTGTACAAATAAAGCCTGGCTGAGGATCAGAGATTGGAACTTGCCACTAGCTAACCATAGAATTCTGGAGATCTGTACAGACAGGCAGAAAGTGAGGTAGCTGAGCAGAAATGGGATATAAGCAGGAAGAATCAGCAAATCTCTCTCTTGTCTTCTGAGACACTAAGGAGGTAATGTGTGCTATGGCTTGCTCCTTCTCTGTGATCTCTCAGTGTTTTACTCTATATCTGACTCTGGCTTATTATTATCTAGATCATTTAAGAACTCCATTTAAACCTTTGGTTTCTAGTGTTCCTAGTCCATCCTTTATCTGGCATCATGGGTGACATCCCTCTGATAGTCAAATTGCATCTACGTTGTACAGAAAACAAAGAAACATTCTAAGACTGGGCACTAAGACCTCTGATAGTCTGATCAAATGCTTTGGTCTTCCAATGTTGTAAGATGTGGACAAAGGTCCTTTTGAATTATCTTATACTTAAGATTCAAGTTCTGGTTAAAAGTGACCAACATACATAACAATACTATGCTCTCTGCACAGATAGCCACAATAAAAGACAACATCATACACTGCAATCTCATGCAAATAGAGACTCCGTTAAATAGAGAAAGTACAAATACTTTTTGTATTTAAATGTATCATTAGCCTATATAAGGGAAATATTTCAGCAAAATCCCTTTGAAAGTGGACTTTTCCTATGTAAATTTTATTTCCCCTAGACTCTCTTAGATAAAAAAAAATAACTATTTCTCAAAGTATAAAAGGGTCATACTAACTGAAGCAAGACATTAAATTGTTATGTTTGAATGGTGGAAAGTATTTCTGATAAAATAACATTAACATAAAAATTTTCAATCTTGCTGGGTGATAGTGGCACATGCCTTTAATCCCAACACTAAGGAAGCAAACGCAGGTGGATCTCTGTGAGTTCCAGCCTGGTCTACAAATTGAGTTTCAGGGCAGTCAGAGCAATATATAGAAACCCTGACTCAAAAAATGTTTTCAACCTCTTAGAGTACTCACAATAAAAGAAAAAGTTATATCAAATGACATGTGAAGAGAAAATGAATAGTCAACCTTACAATGTTTTCTGTTGTTCACCTCACCTAGAGAAAGCAAGCCTCTAAAGCAATCATCTGACTACTTTTTAAACCAGCATTGACTAAATTTGGTGTTTGTAAATGTATAGTCAAATACATTTGTTGACATTGTTGAAATTTGTTTACACTTGAGCTTTCTGACTTCCTCCTGTGGGTTTTTCCTAAGTCCTACGTGTATTTGTAGAAGAGTTAACAACTATTGTAATAGTTGGGTGTGCTGGTGTATGACTTTAATCTCAACACTCTAGAGAAAGGGCTTAGCAGATCTCTGTTAGTTCAAGGCTAGCCTGGTCGACATAGTGAGTTCCAGAACAGCCAGAGATTCATAAAGAAATAGTGAAATTCTGTCTCAATAACTAAACAAGAGCAATTGCTCCAATAACAACAGCTGTTAGTTGTCAAAGGTATTAACTGATAAGCACTGGTACTGTATCACTGAACACTTGCACCATTCTGGAAGAGTGAACCAACCCCTTTGTTTTGTTTCGTTTTGTTTGTTACATACTTAGGAATAGATACATATATATGCTTATTTCGAAGCTACACAATCCTCCTTGCACATTAAACATAAACTTAAATTTTTTATAAAAATCTGAAGATGATCTGCATTGTATATGCCTTCAATAATGTGGCAAGGTCTCCAAGTTTTCCCATTGTTTGTGTTTCTTCCTGAAATTAACTGTAAAATTTAATTACAGCTTATTTTTATGACTTTTATTAAATTTATTCATTTATTTTACATGCACATTTTCTTCTTCCTGCTCTATTCCCACCCCTCCCCCATCTCCCTCTGCTCCCATCCCGTAAAGAAAACTACTCTTCTGTTTCTATTCACCAAAAGGACAGGCCTAGCATGGGTGTCAACAAAGCATGGCATATCAAGTTGTAGTAGAACTAAGCCCTTCCCTCAGTATTAAGGCTCAGCAAGGCAACCCAGTACAGCTTATTTTTTAGCACACAGCCTTAGAACTACAACTATGGTCTTCTAAGAATCAATACTCACTTGTATTTATCAAAGGGTAGTCCTACTCTTGACTTCCTTTTCATCTTATTTTTCTTCTTGCTAGAATGGTAATGGTGACAGTCTGGTTTATTCAACTGAAAATACTTGCATTTCATACTGGCCATTTCCTGAAACTGTTAACATCTATTGAATCCTACTTTGAAAGCAAATGTTATTCAAAACCTTGGAAGTTCTGGAGTTGAGGTTTTAGTTCAGTGGTAAGATGCTTACACAGCAGGCTTGTGGCCCCAGGCTCAACACTCAGTACTGCCAGGAAAACAAAAACCGAGGGGAGGTCTGTTTTCTTTTGAATTAATATTAACAAAGAATCATGAAACTTCATTCTTTATATTCTCTTTTTAGACTTTCCTCCCTGGGGAAAGGGACAAGACCTCCTAAGCAAAGTGGGAGCATGTAGGGAGTGGAGAGGGACTTAGGAGAAAGAGAAGGGGAGAAGAGGTGGGGGGAGGAAGACTTGAGGGACTAGGAAGACTGAGTCAGGGAAAGAATAGAGGAGAGAAAAGAGATACCTTAACAGAGGGAACCATTATAGGTTTAAAGAGAAATCTGACATTAGGGAAATGTTCAGATACCTACATTGGGAGCCCAATCCCCATAGAGGGATACTGTCTAGGCCTAGACACACAGGAGAGGGCCTAAGCCCTGCCCCACATGATGTGACAGACTTTGATGATCTGCCATGGAAGGCCTCACTCTCCCTAGGGAGCAGAAGGGGGATGGGATGGGGGTGAGTGGGGGGCATGGAAAGATGGGAGGAAGAGGGAACTGAGATTGATATATAAAATAAGATTGTTTCTAATTTAAATTAAAAAAATAAAAAAGTTTCCTCCCTATTATAAATTATATATGTGGTTGTTTTCTAATGTGCCTTGTGTGGAGGTTCTTGAAGATTTTTCTTCTTTTTTCAAATTTAATTTTTTTATTTTTGAGATAGGCTGTCCTGGAACTCACCCTGTAGGCCAGGCTGTTCTTGAACTCACAGAGATGTGCCCATCTCTTCTTCCTGGGTACTGAGATTAAAGGCAATGAGCCACCACATCTGGCAGAGATTTTAATCTCTTCTACT